CTGAGTTGGCAACGATTTCTGTCACTGTCAGGCGCAAAGTTAGGATTGAAATGAGCATTGATACTTTCACAATTGTCGAAATCTTGACGGGTGTTCTGGAGAAAAAAAGTTATACATAAAAAGATTTAGACAGTAACATAATTTAGTGGGTTTACTTTAACTGCCTTTTATCATACTTCTCCCGACGAAGGCTCTTGGGCCAAAACGTCGAGCTATTTCGTTCATTTTAGGCAGTCGTTACGCATTTGCCGTTGATGTGCTGATAAGCAAAATTAGTTAATAATGTACACGAGATTCTCCTCATCACAAAACTCAAGCCTTCTCTTAACGTTCAAGGGAAGTCTATTCCTCTTAATTCATTCTAATTCTTCATTCATTGATATTATTAATCGTGTCATGACGTCCATATCTGCCTCTACAGTCCTCTTATGTACTGTTTTGTCTTTTGTCTGTTAGCAAAATGAGGCGCCATCCTTTTAGTTTTATGCAACAGATAACAACTGAAAACGAGCAACGCATAAATTTTGCGTCGTTCATAAGACAAGAAATATTCAATTTTATCTAAATACCCAGAAATCAAACTAAACATTGCATTTAAAGATTAATGATCAATAAAATTCATATGGAATCCATTGAAAACTTGAGAAAACATGTCAGTAAGCCTAAATACGCTAGAGAATAACTTTTTTCGTTTTTAACAAATGTCGCGTTTATAATCACGTCTCCCATATCAACTGCATGTTTTCCTTGTTTCTCGCGGTACAGCTGTCGCATATCAATGCGCGCCCATCGACTTCCGTCAACACTTTTTAACTCAAACCATCTTTTTATGTGCTGCGAGACATCTTTATAAGTATAATCCAGCTGATCTCAGCAAAAAATTTTAACCAATCAGCGCGCAGCAAGGGGTCCTCAAATAGAAATCCATACCATGCGGCCGCGCGCGCTTACAAAATAAATATGGCGGATAAAACTCAGAGCTAACAATCTACATTGTAAAAGAATCAAGAAATTCAAGAAATTTGTCTTTGTTCGTTTCAAAAACAAGTGGCATTAATCCTTCCCTGAATATCTTTCCATTCTCAGCTTCAAGTATAGCACTGCACAATAATGTCTTGTTTTCTATAGCACAAAGTTTGCCATATCGTTTAGAGTAGGCATTCCAACAGACTTTACAGCAACACTTTCTTCAACAAATGGTTTCATTTCAGGATAGTTATCACACAACAACTGTTTCAAAGCATCAAAATCTCGCAGAAGTTTCGTCGTGTTTGCATGGCCATTTGAAGTCGCCTTTGACAACAAAAACTCCAAAGGACTTACACGGTGAACAACAGGCTGCAGAAAATGCTCTTTCACTTCTTCCACACTTAGACAACTAATAAAAGCTTTTACTCTTGCAGAACGGGTTACTTCGCTAATATTACTTGCATGGTAAAAGTACATCTTTAACAAGCCCAATGGCACTCGGTTTTTTCTTATTTACTAAATTCCTTGTGTTGTTGGTTGGCTCGATAATGGCGCAATAAATTACTGTAGGAACCGTAGTCGTTCTTGCACTCAGAGTATTCACAGCGAAAATTGCTTGAAGAGGAAGTCATTTTGAAATATTTATCGATACAAGAAACAAACAGAGGTTTGTAAATCCCGCCAATTTAAAACTCAGTATGTTCGATTTGTCACTTGCCCATGTTGCACGTAAAGTACAACTATTTTTTACCCTTAAAATCGGATTGAAAACAACACAAACCAAGAAAATAATTATAAAACAGAAATATTTATTGAAATACCTTAATAGTACAGAAATCGGAATCTTAGAAAGTCTCATTTTTAAGCAATATTTAGTTATCACTAGCCTGTTCAAGTCCGAATACAAGTCCGACAACAATAAATATGCATTAAATCAACATGATTTCAGTTCGCATCCGGTTTATTTGTCTTTTAGATTCACAAAAAATCCATTCATGTCTTGTATCTCATTTCTTTTGTCAATTCGTACCAAAAATCGCGAAAGATCAACCAAAATTGGAGATTTTGCAAGGGCGCGAAGCGCCCGCAGTAAAGTCAAGATTATATGAGAACACAGAAGTGAGATATAACAATGCTTTATTCTTATCAAAACACCGAATACAGCTGATGAAGGACTAGGCACTAAAATAAACGTCACTAGCTATGTTTACACCGTCTCCTAGCAACCAACTCTTCAGTTCGAAATCAGCAAACATTGGAATAAAACCAATTCAACCAATATTGAATAAACCCAATATAAAAATATGACCAACAGATCAGGAACCGATCATAATGCGAAATTTCCTCTTGCAAATCTAAAAGAGAAAAGAAGAAGACCCGTAGTTCGAAAAAGGGGGGGAGGTGGGATTGTTATATCTCACTTCTGTGTTCTCATATAATCTTGACTTTACTGCGGGCGCTTCGCGCCCTTGCAAAATCTCCAATTATATTTCGAACACAGAAGTTCGATATAACAATGCTTGTTTAAAGCTGGGTGAAAACACAACTTAATTCAGTTAGCTCCCAAGTGATTAAGCTAGGAAAGAACCGCCCGAGCATAACCATCACTAAACGACGGACGATAATAGAAACGAGTAAAGGAGGACGATCCGGACCAATCAGCCATGCGCAAAACCTCCTCCAAGGAGACACCTCCCGTTGCAGCTTTTGACGTCGATGCGGACCGCGTAGAATGACTCTTGAAGATATTGGTATCGATTCCAGCGATAGCCAGAATGGATTTAATCCAACGTGCAATGGAACATGACTGAACCGGATGGTGTGGTCTATGGTAGCTAATCAAGAGCTGCCGTTCGATATTAGGACGCAAAGGTGGGCGAAAAACTCTAGTGCGGGCAATGTAGGAATCTAGACAGCGCACTACACAAAGTTTTTCGCAATCGTCAAACTTAGCATAAAAGACGGATTTGACTTCAGAAGACGTTTTAGTTAAACCAGGTAGCTGAAAAACGACTCCTTCAGGGAGAGAACGCATAAACCGAAGATCAAGCATCTTAAGCTCAGAAGAACGCTTCGGAGCAGTAAGAGCCAGCAGAAGCGCCAATTTCTGAGACAGAGTTTTCAGAGGAAGGTCCTCATTCGCAGACAAGGTGCGCAAATGATCGAGCACCATCGAAACGTCCCAAGATTGCTGATAGCGCGACATAGCGGGACGCAGGTTTACAATACCTTTTAAAAGGCGAACCACTAAAGGGTGCTGACCTACGGGGAAACCCTCAATAGGAGGAAGTACACCTGACAAGGCTGAGCGATAAGTATTAATAGTTCGGTATTCAAAACCTTCGTTAAAGGAGTGGGAGAGAAACGCTGTTATATTTGCCAAAGTGGGGCAAAGTGAATCAATTTCCCGTTCGTCGCACCAGCTACTCCATTTTTTCCAGGCGGAATTATAAATTGAGTTTGTGCCTGGCCGCCAAGCTGCCAAGATGAGTTGGGAAGCGTCCTCAGGAATTCCTTGCGCTTGCAAGGATCGGCGCAAACATGCCACGCGGCTAACTGAAGCGTTTGATTGACGAGCAGAGGATGGGATTCCTCCTGCGGGCCCAGAAGAAGTCTGGTGGTCAGCGGCAGAAGAACTGGTGGTGCAATTGACAGAGCCAGTGCGCTGGGATACCAGGCCTGTGTAGGCCACACTGGTGTGATTAAAATCAACTCTCCCCCTTCGGCCCTCAGCTTCGCCAATGAGCGCATGATTAGGCAAAATGGGGGAAAAGCGTAATTCCTTCCCACCGACCAGTCCTGTTGAAGGGCATCTGAGGCGAGGGCTAACGGGTCCGGCCTCCAACTGAAGAATTGGGGTAGCTGCGAGTTCAGACGATCGGCAAAAAGATCGATCATACAAGGCCCTCGAATCTGCATCAGGGAGCTGAAGATCTCCGGGCAAAGCTTCCAGTTGCTCGAATCTAGGAAATTGCGTGACTCCCAATCGGCCGAGATGTTCAGAGATCCCGCAAGGTGTTCGGCACTGAGGAAAATGTTGCGTGCCAAAGCCCATTCCCAAAGAGCTAGGGCAAGGTTGGAGAGGACTAATGACCGTGTTCCTCCCAGGCGGTTGAGGTACGCCACTGCAGAAGTATTGTCCATACGCAGGCGTACATGAACACACAAACGGTCTTTCACAAAGCTCTTGACCGCAAACGAACCGGCCAGAAGTTCCAGACAGTTGATGTGGAGTTTCCTCTCCATCTGGGACCACAAACCGCCTGTTCTGACTCCCTGACAAACAGCGCCCCAACCCAACCGAGATGCATCGGTCTCGATTACGACATCCGGGGACGGGTGAAGAAGCGCCCGTCCGTTCCAGGCGTCTAAATGTGCTAGCCACCATCGAAGTTCGTCCGTTGCCTCCAAGGAAAGAGCTATTCTCGAGTCGAAATTCCCTTGTTGGGCTAGAGCTTTGTGTTTCAAGCGTTGCAAGTGGCGATAATGCAATGGGGCCGGAAAAACGGCCTGTATTGAGGCCGTTAACTTGCCTATCAACTGGGATAACTCCCTCACTGAAACATCTTGCTGCGAAAGAAGAGTGGAGCAAATCTCTCTGATTGACGTTACCTTGCAATCTGGCAGGAGCAGAGTCATACCCCGGGAATTCACGACAAACCCGAGAAATTCTATTTGTTGTGTTGGTTGAAAACACGATTTCTCGGGGTTTATTACAAACCCAAGGTTCTCTAATAGATACTGAGCTGTAATCATGTCCTGTTGTAGACCCTCTTTGGACGTGTTCATAAAGAGAATGTCGTCCAAATAAATTATCAATCGAACACCGGATCTCCGCAGAAGTGCCACAACTGGCTTCATGATCTTTGTAAACACCCTGGGGGCTACAGCTAGACCGAACGGAAGGCATGTGAACTCGAGGAGAGAGTTTTTCCAAACGAAGCGAAGATACTTCCTGTGGTTCCTCCAAATGGGAATCACAAAGTACGCATCCTTCAGATCGATCTTGCCCAGCCAATCGTTTGGCTGGAGTAAGTCGCGCAAGAGATGGATCCCTTCCATTTTGAAGTGATCGTACTGAAGAAACACATTTAGATCTTTTAAATTGATAACAGGACGAGAATTTCCGTCGCGTTTTGGAACTAGAAATATACTGCTTACAAATTGGTCGGGAACTGGACCGGTAACGTGTAAAGCTCCCTTTTCCTGAAGGAGAGCTATCTCGGAGTCGACCTTCTCTGACTCTAGCTGAGAAAAAACCAAAGGTGCCTTGGCCCTGGTTTGAATTGGCGGGGCCGTAAAGGGGAGTTTGTAGCCCGACACTGTGTCTAGAATCTCCGGATCTAGAGTTATTTGCCTCCAGTTGAGAAGAAAATGAACTAGCCGTCCTGCGAGCTTTGCTGGAGGAGCAATTGATCGAAAATCTATCTTTAAACGACTCGAAGGCAGTACGTTTACCTGCGAGTCCAGTTCCCGAGCCTTTTGTAAGGCGGGTACATGCAACATTGGTTGGACTTTTGCAATACCTGTTAGATTTTGTTCTCTGCCGGACGTGCGAACTGTGTCGCATGGCTTTTTCCCCGACGATACGAGTGCTGGCCTCCACGGTTTGAGAATCTCTGGCCCCACGGGCGAGTATTGAAGCCCGGGCCTTTCCCGGGCTGGAAACGAAAAGGCTTCGACTTGTTGTTGCCATGGTAACGAGCTCGTCCTACTAACGAATCAAGCTCTTTCGAAAGCTTCAGCTCTTTAAGAAAAGATTTCTTAAATTTCTTCCCAAACAGGTCGGTAGAACCTTGAGAAAACAAGGACTGATCCTCGAGAAGATCTAAGGAATCCGAAGAAATTTTCGCCAAAAGCCCTTTTCGGCGATCAGCGAGAGCACAAAAGCTCGCATTCCCGGTCAAAGCAACGGCACGTTGAACCAGCTCGACCACTTCAGCCGGATCCAAACCCGTTTTACTTTGCTCTGCTAAAAGGGCTTTTTGCCAAAGCTGGGCTAAAGGCCCAAGAGGATCCAAAATACGCCCGGCAATGTTCATTTGACGTCGGTCCATGACCGGGTTAAAAGGCGTACCGTTTCTTTTTAGGTATTTTTTAACAAAAGAGTCAACTTTTTTAGGCCGTAAATCAGCATGATGAGGCATTGGCGTATCTTTCAAAAGGTCTTTACGAGCGTTCTTAGAAAGGCCGTTAAAAGCAGCCTCCGCTGCGAAATCAACTATTGAGGTGTCAAGGGAATAGTCAAGTTCCCCAGAAGTGCTCGCGATTTGACACGAAGAGTTGTTTTGGCGGGACGAAAAGTCCGATTCAGTATCAGAGCTACTGCTCGTGCTCGAGGAACTTTCACTCGATCCTGAAGTGGAGTACGACCGCGAAAACTTACTTCGCTTACTCCTAGCCTTTTTTGACGAATGTTTGTGCTTTGTATGAGACGAATGTCTCCGTTTTGTTGTCGAAGCCGAAGGGCTCTGAGACACGGTTTTACTCGGCCGTTCAGCCGGCGTTTTTTCTCGCGACACAGCTCGCGGAGCACTCTCAGTTTCCACAGAAACATTTTCCATAGTGGCCTGAGCCATCTATAAAGCACAATATTTATAAATAACCACGAAAATAGACTCAAATGCGAAAGGTAGTCCTTAGAGCGACAAAATATCAACCGTTTTCGGTGAGCTGATGAAGAACTGAAGAGTTGGTTGCTAGGAGACGGTGTAAACATAGCTAGTGACGTTTATTTTAGTGCCTAGTCCTTCATCAGCTGTATTCGGTGTTTTGATAAGAATAAAGCATTGTTATATCGAACTTCTGTGTTCGAAATATAATATGAACAAAACATCGCTCTTCGCTCCATCGGCAGCCAGAAAAATTTAACAAATAAACGCGCGCACGGATTTCTGGTATGGATTTCTATTTGTGTTGGGAATCATGCTTTGCGAGCTTAGCGCGAGATCAACTGGATAATAATAACAATAATCTTTCGTATGTGCCTTTTAGCCTCGCCCTGCGATATTATCATATTAGTTACAGCGACAAGCAGAAAATTTCAAAAAATACAATATAAAACGAATTCTCAAAATAGACAACTTGTGTTCTACATAATTTATATTTTTTATATCTTTATCGCGATATTACTTTAGGTGTGACATTAATAAGCAAAACATCGCAAAAATCTACAGGCCCGTGCATGCACTTTGCGATTTTTGCTACGATTCCAAGTATGTGCGATTTTCTTCTTTTCATGATGTGAACGAGTGAATTAGTCACTGATGTTCAAATAAGAGCTCTTATATACATCAGTGGTTCGTGAGGTACTCAGGAAACAATTATAGATTAATTAAATAAGGTACATTAGTTATGTTATATTAGTTCTGTTTATATTAGTTTGTGACAATGACATGTGTCAGTTGACACGAAAAGTAGATTGCATGTTAAAGTTAAAGCCAATTGAAGCTAGGAACTCCTATTAAAAGGATCTAAAAGTAAAGCTATCCTGTATTGTCGACACCTGTATTGCTAACCTGTATTGTATTGCTAACCAGATAAATATTGAATGTAGCCCTGAGGACACGCCAAAGAAGTAAGTAGCAACGATTAATTTCTTAACTCATTTACATTATTACTTTACTTATAATTCTTAATATTGTATATATATAGATCGAATAGTATCAGTGTCAGTGTTAATAAACAATCAAAAGTCAAAACTATACGATTACGCGTCTACTGCATTCATCGAAATAAAGCGCATAACTCCAACGGACCAATCAGAGCGTGGAAAACAATCGAGCAACTAACGATCCTTTAGCAGGAATAGATCCCAAGCCTTTACTATGTCGGTGCGCTGTTCTTGACCGGCTTCGGCAAATGTCCACGTCAGAGCTGGTTCATAAAGACTCAAGCTTTATTTACATCGCATTTTAGAAGCTTAACGAAATGTATATGTGTTCCCCAACGCGATGACGTTGGATAAAAAGTTGGTATTTTATAATCTATTTGTTCACACATGTAACCGCGTTGGCAAAATGAGGCGCCATAAATCCTTTTAGTTTTATGCAACAGGTAACAACTGAAAACGAGCAACGCATAAATTTTGCGTCGTTCATAACACAAGACATATTATTAGGTTTTATTTAAATACCTAAAAATAAAACAAAACATTGTATTTAAAGATTATTGATCAGTAAAATTCATATCGAATAACATAAACCGTCAGTAAGCTTAAATGCGCGAGAGAGTATCTTTTTTCGTTTGTAACAAACATCGCGTTTATAATCACGTCTCCCATAGCAACAGCATGTTCGTTTTCTTGTTTCTTGCGGTGCAGCTGTTGCATGTCAATGCGCACCCATCGACTTCCGTCCACACTTTTAACTCAAACCATCTTTTATATATGCCTTTTAGCCTCGCCCTGCGATATTAGTTACCGCGACAAGCAAACAATTTCAAGAAATACAAAATAAAACGAATTTTCAAAATAGACATCTTGTGTTCTACATAATTTATATTTTTTATATCTTTATCGCGATATTATTTTAGGTCTGACATTGAGCAAAATATCGCAAAATTCTAAAGGCCAGTTCACACTTGCAATTTTTGCTGCGATTTCATGTGCGATTTTCTTCTTTTCATAGATGTGAACGAGTTACTTAGTTACTGATGTTCAAATAAGAACTCTTAAACATCTGAGCATTCGTGACTAATTACTAATTCACATCTATCAAAAGGAGAAAACCGCGCACAAAATCGCAGCAAAAATCGCAAGTGAAACGGGCTTTAACGCGTTGCAACTCTTGGTATAATAATAATCAATCCAGTGAACACACACAATATCATAATATCAGAGGGTGCATCGTTGTTGCGGAGTTTATGTACTTGGAAAACCTAACAGCTGTGGAGAACAATCGAGCAGCTATCGATCCTTTAGCAGGAATCGAGCCTAAGCCCTTACGATGCTGGTGCGCTGCTCTTGAAACTAACTGAGCTCTCAACTTAATAAAGTTCAATTTACACTTAATTTCAACTTACCCGGGCCTCGTGAAATGGATGATATTCAGCAATTGAAGACGGTGGTGAACTCTTGTTGTCCCAAGGCTGATCAAAAGCGCAATGGCAGTTCTCTGAAAACAACTTGCACTTCAGCGGACGCGGATTTAGTTTCTATGGAGACCATGCATTTTATCTACTGTGTGCAAATTGAATTTTATCTCAAAATGCTTCGGGAATGTGTTATAGAAACGACAAGTGGTTTATTGTCAACATCCCTTATCGCCATGATATTCATATTCATATTCAGAAAACTCGCTCCTCCTGGTCGCCATGTGTAGTTTGAAACGGATTCGCGTTAGAAAAATGGTAAAGTGGCCCTTTTAAGATGTGTTTCGCTTCGACTGAAAGTGTCTATGGACCGTGCGTTTCTCCGTTAAGGAATAATCGGATTGAATTAAGAAAACCGAATGACGCCGAAGAATATTCTGGAACACAAGGCAATGAGAAATACTGCGACAGGGTGGGATTTCCAAATATAATACAAGATACTTTAAGGCAATGATTGGTCCTTTATTGAAAGTTTACATCCTTTAATTTAAGACTTGCCTGAAGGAATTTCTGAAATATGATACGCGAAAATTAATTGCATATTGAAAGTTAAGTGCATATTCTCTTGATGAATACATTTGTGTATTATCATACCTATGAAGCAGAGCTGAATTCATTTTTCATTTTTAAAAGGCCTGTTTTTGTAGTTGATTTTCTGTTGACTCAGTGGCCAGTGCGAAGTTGTATGCATATAGCGCAGTGAGAAAAAAAACAGCAGGACGTAAAATTATTTGGATATATTTTCTAACAATTTCAATTATTCTAGCACTTTCATTTTTGGTTTCATATCGCCATTTGTTTATAGAAGATGCATTAACGATGTATTATAAAAATCGTGATTTTCATTTAAACATGCAGAAATATATATATATATATATATATAATATATATATATATATATATATATATATATATATATATATATATATATATATATATATATACACCCATTTGCAAAAACGTTGGCCGCAGATAGATAGATAGATAGATACTCGAAGTCTAATTAGAATTGCATATGAATACATTTGCATGGGATTTCAATCATATTACACAACATATGCAATTCTAATTAGATTTCGGGTATCTATCTATATATCTATCTGCGGCCAACGTTTTTGCAAACGGGTGTATATATATATATATATATATATATATATATATATATATATATATATATATATATATACTTGATATATATGAGACGGATAAAACATGGAATGAACTTGGCAATTCAACCAGGCAGTTTCATTTCAAACCAGTTCAAACTATATCTTCGTTCTCTCTCTCGGTTGAACAAACCAATTCAACAAAAATCATGTCATTTTCGCGTTTCTTAATCTTCAGTATGTGTTCAAGCTTTTCCGTCGTTGCCATATTTGTGGAATCCTTCTGTGTTGCCACATTATCGGCGTAAATTGTGTTAAAAATGAACGGTAATAAGAAAGCCACAATAGAGCTAATTGCTCGAATACTTCCTGAAATTCCCGATTCCTCTCCTAGAATCAGGACAATCAACATAGCCCAAGCGTATATGCAAACGAAAAGGACTCTTCTGAAGAAATGAAATAATAGATCTCCCAAGGGAAGAATTTGATCTAGTTCGCTGACTTCTTTGTAAAGTTTCTTCGATATCATTGCCTCGCCTGTTCTTTCGTCAAATTTGATGGCACGATATTTTTTTTCACGATTTTTTTTTTCACGATATTTTTTTTCAGCAGCATCAATCTCATCGCCTACAACAGGAGTAAGAAAAGTAAAATGAAATATTCTTAAGTATGAAGATTGCCAACATATTGACAAAATTGGGGAAGTTTGCTAGAATCAGTTTAGAGCATCATGTCTGCACGGGCTCTTCGGGTTTTATTTATATATATGTAAACTATATTTATACAAGTATACACAATTGTGCGAGCATGTAAAAGCGTTATTATACCAATGCCAGAGTGAAATAGATTATCATTTTACCTGAAAAATTACTGTATTCATTTTTAGTGCTTAAATAGCCACACGAGAAGAATAATTTTAAAATACTTTTGAATGCTTTTGAACAACTATTTTTACCAGGCGATCCACGTGACGATGATCCACCAGGTACGTCTGAGCCTCGGTCTGATATGCTATGTATTTCATCAAGACTATTTTCAATTTTATGTGATGTTACGTTGTTGGAACTAGTTTCGGTTTGGTTGTCAGCAGTAGTTTTGGGTTGATTGGGGGGACTGGTTCCAGCTGTTGTTTCGTTGTTAGCTATGCCAAAGTTAATCTTCTCAGCTTTCTTCTTGCAAACACGGATAATTAATGTTTTGAGTTGCAGACACGGCGCTTCAACCAAGAGCTGCCAATTCTTCCAGACAAAGGCTATCAAAGTCACAACCGGGGCAAAGAAAGGATTGAAGAACTCTCCGTTTAGAATCAAGCCAACCGTCATAGTAATACCAAAAAAAAGAATCGACCCAGAAAGAAAGATGATCACCGTTAAAGTCAAAAGCCTTATAGGGACTGCAAAGATATTAACCAAAAGTTTGCCATTACCTTTTCCACATTTACTACATGTACATCTACATCTACAAGTAAATGGAAAAACAAAACGTAATATGAAGTCAAATAATACGAATTTTACCAGACATAATAGTACAAGGACTAGAGAAAGCACTAAAAGCACAATTTTTAAAGAGTAAATCTTAAGATCTGCCCAAATATCCTCCCACGACGAGCCCCTTTGGCAATGCTCGTTAACAAAGGGAAGGGAAATCGGAATTTTGAAACAGGAGATTAGATTTTCTTTAAACTTCAACTCGAATTTTTCTTTGATTTTAAAATTCTCCATGGGGAAGTTTTTTTCAAAGCAAATCCGAAAAAAGTGACAAAAACAGAAACATACAGCCCACACAATAAAAAGCCACAGGAAATACGCGTAATTGAAATAGTTGGCGAAATAGAACACTGTGAACGAAAGTCCTACAAAAGCTAATCGTCTGAAGAAAGTTTTACCCCATCCACGACCTTCACAAAATATCATAGAAAAAAAAGAAATAAGAGACATATGACTGAACGAAGATTTGTAAAACGTCATTTCTTCGTAGGTTATAATATGTTCAAGCACGAAGGGTAACGTCAATATACAGAATACAGCCACCGCGGCTATTGACCCAGGACGTGCCCATTCAAGTACAATAGAGGAATAATCAGCACAGAGTGTCAACTTTCTACCACCGGTTATTTGACAGCAATTGAATCTGTAAGGTGCTTCATTAAGCGGTCGGCACAATTGATAATACTTGTTATTATCTTTATATTGAATGTGAGAGAAAAGCTCTTTTAAAAGATGGTTAAAAACCTGATCACTTCCATTTTTCCCGGATGGTAAGCAACCAACAGGGTCCTCCGCGGCTACAATAGAAATTCCTTTTATTCCGACTTCGAATGGAAAGGTGAAAAGAGGCGAATCAAATACACTACTTTTAGCACGAGCGACCAAGGAAATTAAGGTGCGACCAATTTCGTTCGCCCAAGGCCATTTCATTTCTGGAAAAACTCGAGTCTTGTTTGCAGAGGCAACGGTCGCTGTTATTTCAATGGTCTTTGTGGTGGGTTTAAGCATTAGTCTGAGCAGATCTTCCACTTTTGATCCATCGAAATGAATAGTCTTGCAAGCGGTAACATTATTTGTCGAAGTTTCATGACCAAATATCGCGGTTGAACAATGCAGAAACACGATTAAACCAAAGTAGTTAAGCAAAGACATCTTTCAACGTGGTGGATTTATATCTCTCAAATTCTAAATGTCAAAAATAGTACGTCAGTCAAAATTTGGACTTGTGAATGCTTGTAATGCTAAATTTAAATTCTTTCACTGTTGTTTTTTACAGAAAGTTTTCGGCAAAATTAATTACTAATTGTAAGACAACAAAAACTGTGTTTATATATTATGTATTCTTGTTCATTTGAATCACTGAACAAAACCAAAATATGCCATGCAAATACCAGGAGTAAGTTAGAAATTTTCGTTTTCTTTCGCTTTTTATCGTAATTAACAGTTTCATCATATCCGTTACCATGCCACAGGCTCAAATATGTATCGGCAAATTTCGATCCTTTTTTAGCATCGGAAGTTACGGGAAGTATTGATGTTTCTCCAATATCAAAGGTATCGAGTAGCAAGTACTTATTAGTTTATATTGACCCATCTCTATCGTCTTGTAACATGTTCAGTTGTTTCTGGCAGAAACGAAGTACATACTGCTTGCGTGCGTGCAAATATTTGCATTTCGCTACAATTTATGAGATAGACGAGGCTTTATTCGTTCCATATTGGGTAATGTAATACATGCACAAGACTAAGAGTAGGTTTTTGATAAGCATCCCCGATTGGTAAAATGACATTCAACATGTGGTTTGTGGACGAGCTGGCTAACGTTTCAAAGACATATAAATAAACTCGAGTTCTGTCAGCATCAACATTCACAAAATTGCTCAATGAGCATAACTGAGAATTTCTTTTATCACTGATCCATGTGAAATATATAGAGTCCTATCTTTAGTCAATGAAAGTTTCAAGGTAGAACATTGAAAATAAGTTCATATTCGAGCAGAAATACCGTCAATGAATCGCTACGTGACGTGATTCAAATCTCCCACTCATGCAATGAGTTTGAATGAGTTTGAATGCGAGTGAGTTTTTAGAATACAGGCGTTAGACTCGTCTTTCATAATTTTACGTTAATAACATTCTAAGAATTTCCTCACCTTGATTTGTTGTGCGATAGCTATACTTGCCTACTATAATTTATTGTTGAAATGTGACGGGTGAAATGTAAATGCGTTCACATCAACCACAGTAACCGTGTGGGACTGCGTTTTCTGGGAACGGCCCCCATGTGTGTACCAAGAATTAATCATGTTTATACATATGAATACAATGGAGCCACTGACTGCGGTTCAGGAAATGGAAATGGGAATGCGAATAGAAAATGCCACACTTTTTCTTAGTATCGGAAGTATTGATACGTTTCTCAGTATCAGCGATATCAAGTAGGAAGTACTTAGAATTAGTTTATATTGACCCATCTCTATCGTCCCGTAAAATGTTTGTTTCTGGCGGAAACGAAGTACATATTCCTTGCATGCTTGCAAATATTCGCATTTAGCTACAATTTATGAGATAGACGTGGCCTTATTCCATCCATTGAGAAATATAATGCACAAGACTAGGACTAGGTTTTCGGTAAGCATCCCCGATTGGGAACATGTGGTCTGCAGGCAAACCGGAAAGCGTTTCGAAGACATATAAATAATAAGCTCGACTTCTCAGTCCGGCTTCTCTCACGATCAACGCAACACAAAATTACTCACACTCGTGCTCATTGAATGTGACTTGTAATTTTTTTTATCACTGACCCATGTGAGAATATATCGGGTAAAACACTGAAAATAAGTTCATATTCGAGTAGAAATACCGTCATTGAATCGCTACGACGTGATTCAAATCTCCCACTAAATGAGTTTGGAATGCGAGCGAGTTTTTAGAATGCAGGCGTTAGACTCGTCTTTATATTTGTTAATTTCCTCACCTGGATTTGTTGTGCGATATAGCCACTTGCGCACTATAGTTTGTTGTTGAAATGTGTCAGAAATTAAACGATTAATGCGATTTTGGGGGTCAAATTTACCCTAGGGAGAGGGCGTCATGGAGTTTTGTCGCCTTTTCCAACCGTTCCGAGCACGCAGTAAAGTAAGCACACGCTTAGCAAAATCTAGCAACAATTATCGCTTAGAACTTATAAAACGCGATTTCTCCGATTCTTTGGCACATCCTACCCCAACAATTACTCAGAATTATAACAGAATGATAATATGTAAAGTTTAAACATTCTAAAGACGGCAGAGAACAAAAAAGCGAGAAAATACGGAATTTCTAAAGTATATGGTTGCTATAGGTGAGTAATTTGAGATAACAAAGCAACCTATTATTTTGACTCATGTTTTGACTTATAATATAAATGCAGCTTATCACTATAAGCTGGTTGGAATATACTATTTAAATCGTCTTTTCAAGCTTTATCGTTTAGTGGCATTCCGGGGTCTTTAGCCTATGTATACTTGCCGAGATATTTACTGATCCACTGATCCATGTGAGAATATATAGAGTCCTATCTTAAATCAATGGAAAGTTTCAAGGTAGAACACGTACACTGAAAATAAGTTTATATTCGAGTAGAGTACCGTCATTGAATCGCTACGACGTGATTCAAATCTCGCACTCAAATCAGTTTCAGTGTGAGTGAGATTTTTGAAATGACAGGCGTTAGACTCGTCTTTATATAATTTTCCATTAACAACATTTTAAGAACTTCCTCACCTTGATTTGTTGTGCGATATAGCAACTTGCGCACAATAGTTTGTTGTTGAAATGTGTCAGAATTTAAACGATAAATGCATTAACATCAGCCACATGCAGTTACTGTGCATAAACCAACCACTTGCGCACTACACTTCGTTGTTGAAATGTGTCTGAATTTAAACGATAAATGCGTTCACTGAAACCAGTGCGGGACTGCGTTTTCTGGGTACGGCCCCCATGTGTGTACCAAGAATTAATCATGTTTATACATATGAATACAATATAGCTACTGACTGCGGTTCAGGAAATGGGAATGCGAATAGAAAATGCCACTCTATTTCTTAGTATCGGAAGTATTGATACGTTTCTCGGTATCAGCGATATCGTGTGGGAAGTACTTAGAATTAGTTTATATTAGCCGAATTTATTTTAGAAGACGGATTTCCGTCTGAGACGGAGAACTCGACGCAGACGGGTAACTCGTCTTGATATAAATTCGGTAAACCATAGGTTTTTTGTCTTAATTTCTCCGTCCAACTTTTCCGTTCAAACGACGGAGAAGTTTAGACGGAAATCCGTCAGACGAGTTTTCCGTCTCAGACGAAAATCCGTCTTCTAATATAAATTCGGCTATTGACCCATCTCTATCGTCTCGTAAAATGTTTGTTTCTAGCGGAAACGAAGTACATATTTCTTGCATACTTGCAAATATTCACATTTAGCTACAATTCATGAGATATAGACGTGGCCTTACTCCATCCATTGAGAAATATAATGCACAAGACTAGTAGCAGTGACCTTACATATACCAACGTACACCCTTACATATGCACATCACGAGACGACCAACCGCTGTTCACTACTGGCTCACTGGCTGTAATGAAGAGCGGTTGGTCGTCCCGTGATGCGCGACACCAGCTTTTTGATTCGATACGATACTGAGTATTTTGTTTGAATGAAATTATGTCATCTTGAGCATTCTCAACATGTGCTAAATTTACTCGCGCAAAAATAAAAAATACTGAAAATACTGTTCATTCGATTTCTCGGATTCCGATTTATATAATATCAGTAATCTGCATCACATCATCATGCGGTCGTCTCGTGACATGTTTATTTCTGGCAGAAACGAAGTACATAAATCCTTGAATATTTGTAAATATTCTCATTTCCCTACATATAAAAAGTCGACCTCCTCTCGGCATCAATCAATGCTTACAGCCAGTAGCGGATCTAAGGTTAGTCAGAATAATTTACGCGGTTTAATTTCAATTCAAAACACTTTAATAACACTGTTATTTCAAATGGATTTCAAAAGAATATACTTTTAAACCGAAAACTATCAGAGAGATTGCGACTTATTCTGAGTTCGCCACTGTTGACATCTGCATTCTGAGTGCATGTAACTTATCTTTAAAATTTCCGTTTGTAAAATTTTAACAATTTCCTCAACTTGATTTGTTGTGCGATATAGCCACTTGCGCACTATGTGTCAAAATGTAGATGATAATTGCATTAACATGATAACATCAGCCACAGTTGCTGTGCATAAACTATCCGCTTGCGTACTACACCAGTTGTTGTTGAATTTAATCGATAAATGCATTCACTCAAACCAGTACGGGGCTGCGTTTTCTGGGAATCCCCATGAAAGGGGCAGTGTGTACCAAGAATTAATCATGTATATACATATGAATACAATGGAGCGACTGACTGCAGTTCAGTAAATAGAAATGGAAATAGAAAATTTCTCTTTCTCTTAGTATCGGAAGTATTGATACGTTTCTCAGTATCAGCGATATTGAGTAGGAAGTACTTAGAATTAGTTTATATTGACCCATCTCTATCGTCTCGTAACATGTTTGTTTCTGGCGGAAACGAAGTACATATTCCTTGCATACTTTCAAATATTCGCATTTAGCTACAATTTATGAGATAAACGTGCCTTTATTCGTTCAATTGAGAAATGTAATGCACAAAACTAGGAATAGGTTTTCGGTAAGCATCCCCGATTGGGAACATGTGGTTTGCAGACGAACAAATATTTCGAAGACATAAATAAACTCGACCTCTCTCAGCATCAACGCTCACAAAATTACTGAACATAACTGAGAATTCATGATGAAATATATAGAGTCCTATCTTAAAGCAATGAAAAAACTGAAGGTAAAGCACTAAAAATAAGTTCATATTCGAGTAGAGATACTTGATTTAAATATCCCACTCAATCAGTTTGAGTGTTAGTGAGATTTTGGAATACATGCAGGCGTTAGACTCGTCTTTATATAATTTTCCTTAAAAACATTTTAAGAACTTCTTGACCTTGATTTATTGTGCGATATAGCCACTTGCGCACTACACTTTGTTGTTGAAATGTGTCAGAATTTAAACGATAAATGCATTCACTGAAACCAGTGCAGGACTGCGTT